ATTTATCTTTTATTTATTTTCAACTGCTATGTCAGGATTATATGCCAGACGCCATACTGGCACAGAAAAAAATCCTTTTGTTTATAGATTAGGGAAATAGAAGAAGAAAAATCTAAAAGTATTGTCCCAAATTAATCTGGAATTCTTACGCATGTTTTATTTATGTAAATCATAAATACAGAATCAAATACAAAATCATAAAAGTTTTCCCTTATAATCAGTCATTCTTGAATTTCACCCCAAGCATTATCATCATTATTATTTTTATCATTATCATTATTATCATTATCATTGCATTATCCATTCAGTATTAAATCTAAAACAAACAAAAACTCCCATTCTAAATCTTAATTTTCACACTCATGTCTGGTCTCTCCTGAAATTCCTTTAAGAAAATCAATATGAAACGATGGGCATTCTATCATTCAAATTCTGCAATTTTCCTCACAAATCCTGTTCCTTAAAATTTTGCAATCTTTCTCACACCTCTTGTTCCTTAAAATTTTGCAATCTTTCTCACACATCCTGTTCCTCCTTTGCAAATTCTGATACGAAATTCAGACTCAAATGACAAAAAAAAATGCAATCCTAACGTGGTATTTTTACGGTTCTCATCCGTGTCTCTCTGTTGCAGAAATTACTAGTTCAGATTGCGACGTTGCAGAAAGCCAACAGAGATGCGAAGAAAGGCAACATCTAGTAGATTATTTAATAGGCACAGGGAGGTACTTTTAATTAAGTATATTGTGTGATTCATGACTTTTATTTTTTTTCTCTGGTTATGTAAATAGTGCTACACTGTATTGTTACTGTACATTAAACGATGCAATGAATAAAACTGTTTATATTGTTATGTTATATCATGTTATATATATATTTCACATGCTATATCATGTTAAATATTATACTATATTTTATATGTTATCTTATACATGTTATATATATTATTATATTATCATATTACATTGACATATATGAAGATAGGGATTTCTACTACAGATAGCAATATTTTTGTTGATAGTTCTTTTATTGAAAAAATAGTTTGTGTAAAAATAACTTTCCCATCACCAAGGAAATAAAATCCCTAATGTGCTTCAGTTAATGAGTATCTCACCAATAAAAAATTGAATCCATCATAGTATTTGATATCCAGTGATATCGACTTATGCCAGTTCCGGATACTCTGTTTTGGTCTCTCCCGGTGTGAGATACACCAGCTCTCCCTATCCCAGTTCTGAATACCCTGTATTAGACTCTCCCGGTATGAGGTACCCTAACTCCCTATCCTAGTTCTTAGAAACCCTGTTTTGGACTCTTCCGGTATGAGATACCCTAACTCCCTATCCCAGTTTTGGACTTCCCCGGTGTGAGATACACCAGCTCTCCCTATCCCAGTTCTAGAAATCCTGTTTTGGACTTTCCCGGTATGAGACACACCAGCTCACCTTCCCGGTATGAGCTACCCTGGCTCGCCCTACCCGAGTTCTGAATACCCTGTTTTGGAATTCCCCGGTACCCTGACTCACCCTATCCTAGATCTGGATACCCTGTTTTGGACTTCCCCGGTACCCTGACTCACCCTATCCCAGTTCTAAATGCCCTGTTTTGGACTTTCCCGGTATGAGGTACCCTAACTCACCCTATCCTAGATCTGGATACCCTGTTTTGGACTTTTCCGGTTTGAGATATCACCCTGTTACAGTTCTGGATACCCTGTTTAGGTCTAACCAGGTATGAGATACCCAAGCTCGCTCAAACCCAGTGCAAGATACCTAGAGTGTGTTGAGTAGTATATGCTTTGAGAAACTAGACATCATTTCACAGTAACAATGCTAAAGTCTGTACAATTGCAATGCTTACCTGCAAGTTGCATATATTTTGTTTAAGTGAAGTAAATACGAAATGGTAAAAAGGCATCAGATGCTACCTAGGTTCATTTGGGTAACTTTTCTCTTTTCGACTTTCATGTTGAATAATAACGGAAGTGAAAAGGAAAAAAAACGGGTAATATACATATATGCACACACACACACAAATATCTATCTATCTATCTATCTATCTATNCACACAACCAACACACCCACACAATCTATATATGTACAGACCACACACGCACACACACCACACACACAGGGCGCATCTATACATTACACGAACACACACGCACACACACACATCTATTACATGTACAACACACACACACGCACACACACACATCTATATATGTACAGACACACACGCACACACATGTAATATTTAACTTTCTGTTTCCTCACATAGCGTTATGGGGAAAATATCTACCTAGTATTTAAATCTCCACAATGATAGAATTACACTAAGAAAACAAAAACAACAACAAACAACAACAAATAAATACCAAACCCATACACAGAGTCACAGACAAACAGACAAAGAGACAAAGAGACTAACGGACAAACAGACATCAAAAGCCATACCAAATTATCCTTAAATGAGACGAATGTATAATAAATTTGGACAGGTCTGTGATGACGTCACTGTTCCCACGAGTAAATGCCATCAAGTGGAGTAAGAAAAAGAGACAGGAGGGGGGGGGAGGGTGAGAGAGAGAGGTAGGGGAGAAGGGGGGAGGGGTAGAGGGAAAGAAAAGGAGAGAGAGAGAGAGGGGGGGGGAGATAGAGATAGATAGATAGATAGATAGAGAGAGAGAGAGAGAGAAAAAAAAAAAGATAGAAAGAGAGAGAGAGAAGAGAACGAAAGAGAGAGAGAGAAGGGGGGAGGGGGAGTGAAAGAGAAAAAGAAGAAGAAAGAAGAAGAGAGAGAGAGAGAGAGAGAGATAGAGAGAGAAGAGAAGAGAAGAGAGAGAGAGAAGACTGAGAGAGAGAAAGAGAGAGAGAGAGAGAGACTGATAGAGAGAGAGAGAGAGAGAGAGAGAGAGAGAGAGAGAGAGAGAGAGAGAGAAGAGAGAGAGAGAGAGAGAGAGAGAGAGAGAGAGAGGAGAGAGAGAGAGAGAGAGAGAGAGAGAGAGAGAGAGAGAGAAAGAGAAACGAAAGAGAGAGAGAGAGAGGAATGAAGAGGAGGAGGATGGAGAAGATAAGAAAGAGAAGGAAGAGAAGGCGAGAATATGAAGAAGAAAATGGAGGATATAATAAAAATCGATAAGAGACAGAAATAAGAAAAAAAAATTGCATCAATAAAAGGAAAATAGTAAATAGGAGATGAGAGAAAGAGGACAAAGAAAGATCAATAATTCAGGCCACTCGGAGAATAAGAAGAATAACAAGAAAAAAGAACAAAGAAAGAAAAAAAATCAGAGAAAATAATTACACTCAAGACATAAAAGACAAAAAAAAAAAAAAAAAAATGCGGGGGTAACTAAACTAACTAATCCTAACTGACACCATAATACCGCCTAGACCAAAGTGTCCCCGTGCTAACGAGACCGAAATTGGCCCTCAGTTCGGTCGAAATAGCGATACTTTTATTCTTCTTTTTTCCACTTCTTTTCTATTCTTTTTTTCTATTTTCTATTTGTGGCCCCTGAGTCGAACGCCTTGATAAACCAGTGTCTATTATCTGCCATTATTAAGGAACGTTACACTACAATCTGCACGAGAGGTTGAGGTATACAAGACAGGGCGAATAGGCTATCATTTATTTAGATTTTTTGTTTGTGTTTTCACTCTCTCTCTCTCTCCTTCTCTCTCTGTCTGTCTGTCTCTCTCTCTCTCTCTTCCTTTTCTTTCTTTCTCTCTCTCTCTTCTCTCTCTCTCTCTCTCTCTCTCTCTTCTCTCTCTCTCTTCTCTCTCTCTCTCTCTCTCTCTCTCTCTCTCTCTCTCTCTCTCTTCTCTTTCTCTTTCTCTCTCTTTCTCTATTCGTCTCTCTCTCTCTCTCTCTCTCTCTCTCTCTCTCTCTCTCTCTCTCTCTTCTCTCTCTCTCTCTCTCTCTCTCTCTCACTCTCTCTCTCTCTTAATTATCATAGGATTATGTACGTGTATAATAATGTATGTGTGTTCTCTCATATGTATAGACAGCAGTTGTGTGTGTGTGTGGATGATGTGTGTGTGTGTGTGTGTGTGTGTGTGTGTGTGTGTGTGTGTGTGTGTGTGTGTGTGTGTGTGTGTGTGTGTGTGTGTGTGTGTGTGTTCATATTTCCACAGCACGCCCATCTATCTAGAAAACGACATAACAACACCATACATCCGCCAACCGTAGCAAGACACACCATACGACATATAGTGCGTGTCTCACCATTGAATTCCTGACCGCAAATTTTCCGACATTTCGCTGCTATATCCTGGGTGGGTTGGTTGGGGTGATCGGGTTGTTGTTGTTGTTGTTTCGGTTAGATTCGTTTTTTTTTTTTTTTTTTTTTTTGGGGGGGGGGGCTTTCTTTTTGTACTATGTTTCTTAGACTCTGTTTTTGCTCTCTCTCTCCCTCTATTTCTTTCTCTCTCTCTCTCTCTCTCTCTCTCTCTCTCTCTCTCTCTCTCTCTCTCTCTCTCTTTCTCTCTTTTCTCTCTTCTCTCTCTTTTCTCTCTTTCTCTCTCTCTCTGTCTGTATCTCTCTCTCTTTTCTGTTTCTCTCTCTCTCTCTCTCTCTCTCTCTCTCTCTCTCTCTCTCTCTATTCCCCATTCCAAGGGTCTTGATTTCTTCAACCCCGCATTCTGCATTTGCATAATTATTCAATATCTCGCATACCACAGCTTCCCTCCGATAAAATTCCCTTCGTAATAGATTACTTTTATCTCGAGTCTCCCAAATATTGAATATCGCATCCGGCACATTTTGCTTAACACTGTAACATCCTTCACATCCAGCACACTTTGCAGACTTCACAACGCACTTCTTCGAGCCGTATTTTTCCCCCTTCTGACGCGTTCATATACCTCGATACTGCCATACTTGCTCTCGAGACTATCTAACTCTGTCAGAGAAGAAAGAGAGAAGAGGGAAAAAGGAGGCGGAGATGAGAAAAAAACGGAAAAAAATGGGGGACCATCTCACAACATGATGCAGACGACAGCGAATATAACGTCGCCATTTTTAAATATCCTTTTTAATCCGCTCTGCTTCCATATAGATCGCCGATCATATTTGTTATCCTCCTTTTTGGCCAAGATCACCTCAAGCTGAATAATTATCTGGCGCATAAATTTACTTTAATTTCTCAGCATCGCTCTTAAATGAACTTTTAATATGAGGAATTTATACGTTTTGCATAATTCACGTACCCAAGCGGCAGAGAGGAGGAGAAAGAGGGAGTGAAAAGAGGTGATGGATTTGGTGTTGCGAGAGCCATCTATTGGTGGAAGTTTCGGATGACATTTCTTGCGCTTGTTGGTGTAACAAATTTTCAACAGTATTGTTAAAAATGCATAAAAATGAAATGTTATTGACGGTAAGAATTATATTATCAGTAATAGTGAACAAGAGGATGATAATAATGATAGTAGTTATAGTTAAGATAATTATAGTGATGATAATGTTAGTGAAATAGAGAGAGAGAGAGACGTGGGGGGGTAGGGGAGGAGGAAGGGGGAGAGGGGGGAAATGGAGAGAGAAAAACAGATTGAGAGGGATGAGAGAGAGGGGTTAGGTAAAGAGAGAGAAGGCGGGAAAGGAGAGAGAGAGAGAGATAAAAGAAAGAAGAGAGAGAGAGAGAGAGAGAGAGAGAGAGAGAGAGAGAGAGGAGGAGAGAGAGAGAGAGAGAGAGAGAGAGAGAGAGAGATAAGAGAAAGAGAGGAGAGATAAAGAAAAGAAAGAGAGAGAAGAGAAAGGAAAGAGAGAGAGAGAGAGAAGAGACAGACAGGAAAGGCAATAGAGAGAGGGAGAGACTGAGGAAGAGGTATGCATATATAAATAAATTTGTACAACTTGCATTTGCATTAAAAACAGTTGTAAACCTATAAATACGCTTTTCTTACAACACAATGGTGGAGGTGACAGGAGAGGGAGAGAGAAGAGAGAGGAGAAGGAGAGGAGAGAGAGGGAGGAGAAGGAGAGGAAGAAGGATTAAAAGAGAGAGGAGAGAGAGGAGAAGGAGAGGAGAGAGGAAAAGGAGAGGAAGAAGGGTTAAAGAGAAGAGAGAAGAGAGAGAGAGAAGGAGAGGAGAGAGGAAAAGAGAGGAAGAAGGGTTAAGAGAAGAGAGAAGA